TCCTGATACTCTCATCTTCATGGTTGAAGATACCAGGGAAACTATCGAGAAGTGGAAAAGATAATGGTGTATATGTCCTGTGAGAATAAAGTAAGAAAAATGAAGACATAATCAAGAGGACTACTAACTTTGAAAGCAATGGAAGGCTAGCCGCAATTCTAAGAGCTCGTTCACGACCCTCGTCGTTTCTGTCATTTTCTTCATCGTATTCCTCATCTCCTCTATAATTCTCAACTTGGCCAAATACATGAACCTTGCCGGACTTCCGAGGACCGCGAAATTGCTCTCCTGTTTCTGTAGGAAAGAAGTCCATATCAAAATTGGCAGTATCATTTTCCGCAGGCACATCCTCACCACGACTCAAAGTTGTTGCTGAAGTAATCCTCGTATCTGTAGCCTGCGAATGTCCGTTCGTTCCTGTATGAATGGTATTATTAAATCCTGTCTCAGACTTTTGTTTCACAGACATGCGTAATTTCGCAATATTCTGATTGCCATTGACATTCAATGTGCTTGCTAATTGGTCCAAAGTCTGCCTTGTACCATTTTGAGGCTTTAATCTCGAAGGCAGTGTTACGCTTTCCATCGCAGAAGACAACAAGCCAGAAACTTCCCATGGAGAACTTGCGTCCAATTTGACGTAGCCTGGCAAACGTAATGATGGTAGGGTAATTGGAATGAAGAGGGACGTTTGTGGAATGATTTCCGATATCGACCTTGCTGTGTTTGACAACTTCAAGAAACGTTTTTCCTGTCAAAATCAGTACTAATATGAACTCCACCTCAGCTCACCACAACTTACTCTGGGGATTCCCTTGATATTATCCTCCAAGCCCCAGAACCATATCGTGGTCTTACCATATTCATCTCTCAAGCGATCCATATATCGAGCAGCAAAGCCACCCCAAGCATCGTCAATACCTCCCATTATCTGTATGCCTTGCATATGATCAGCTTCCTCGGCAAAGGGTCGAAGATCACGATCCAACAAATCATGCTCTTTATCTAAGGAACTGAACAATTCTTCACCAGCCTCCCAGTTTTCGAATGGCATTAAAGATGAATTCAATTCATACTCATTGAGTTGAGCTATTGACCTTGGGTGATAGTAAACACGATTGAAGTCTGACCAATATCGCACCGATTCTGAGGTGAGTTTTGGTGGCTCGAGACCTTCTTCCAAACTTTGTTGATATGAACTTTGTTGGATGGCCGTTTGCCGTTGAACTACAGCTGGACCATTCCTGAAATGATGTTAACATCAGCAAAATTCTCGACTTCTTATTAATACATCCAGACTTCTTACCACAATCCATCGGTAATGACCGGTTCGTCTATTTGATACAAAGCATTAATCTTTCTCAGAGAACCAAATCCCCCTTTCAGATCATAAATCAAAGTTCTTGGAGTAAAGGTTTCAGTACCATCTGCTCCAATACCAGGTCTAAAATGAACGTCATGATCAATAGGAGATTCTTGATCCGCCGAATATGTAAAGTATGATTCCTATCAACCAGTCAGAGAACGTTGATAATTCTAGAAAGAGATGTAGTATTACCTGAGTATTCCAGAAATGGGTAGCAAGATAATTACTCTTTTGACCCAGCTGAAGGGTAATGATTTCATGCATATTCAACTAATTCCAGGGTTTTCCCCGAAAAGGTATCCAGTGCTCTGAGTATTGACAGCTAGAGCTCTAGGACTATCAAAGTTGTCACAGCCTCTTGTGGCGATAGAAATGGTATGCTTTGATTATCGCTCAGCACTCGCATGAAAGATAACGTTTATTGCATCATCAGCTTACCTAGTGTATATGAATGTCAAGCTTCGGGGCTATCAGAAAAACATACAATGAAAGTTTTTACCTAGGTATCTGGTGATGTTCGGAAGCAGGGGAATCTGGAAAATTTTCCCAAGATCAAATTGTTTGATGCTGATACATTACTAACCTTACAAGGCAATATGACAAGGGCCCCGATAAGATAAGAAACCCGCATTTAAAAGCTACCCCACGTCATGAAGCTTTTTCCCCTCTACGAGTATGAAATCATCGATATGATCCTGTCGCTTCCTTTTCTCCGATTGTTCGAGAATATCAATATCAACAGCTACATCAACAGTTACACATATCAATAATATCAAAATGACTTTCCAACAAGAACTCAATTCATGGTTATCTCCATCTCCAACTGACGTCCAATCGGCTCCAGAAATCAATTCCAAAGCACCTTCATCCTCCAAACTTCCATTCCCAAATCCCAATGGAAAACCTACTATGATCACATTCCTCAGACATTGCGGCTGTCCAGTGAGTTTCTACTTCTCACATATATACTACTTCTAGAGTCTCACTTTGCATGTTCCCTTCAAAACAATTGCCTTAACCAAAAACAATTCCACAATCCAAGCCACAGCTAACCCCCCCCCCTCTTCAGTTCGCAGAAAAGACCTTCCTCACCCTCCGCAATCTCGCTGCCTCCCATTCAAATATCAATATAATAGCCATCTCCCATTCCACCTCATCTTCGACCGACACTTGGGTCGACTCGCTCGGCGGCGCCGGTTCGATCCAAGTAATTGTTGACTCTGATCGCGAAATCTATGCACAATGGGGATTAGGCACGAGCTCCGCCTGGCACGTATTGAATCCTTGGAGTATGTTTTCTGTATTCAAGCTTGGGCGCGAAGAAAAGATATGGAATAGACCTACGGAGAGTGGAAATCGATGGCAGACGAGTGGGAGTTGGGTTGTGGATAAGGAGGGCATTGTGAAGGGGGGTGGAGTGGCGAAGAGTGCGGATGATATTATGGATTTTGAGGAGGCTGTTAAGTTGATTGAGTGATGAGGACATATGTTGTAATGATATCATGGTTGATGAAGTAAGATATAACGACAATAGTTACTTGGATTTGGTTAATTGGTAATGCTTGTAAGATATTTTTTGGAAAGATTAGAAGCTTGGAATAGAGCTCAGAATTTAGAAGTTCAAATTGCTTTCGCCTACTACAGCTTGATATAAAGTTCATAATAGCTGGATTTTATACCCATCTACACAAATCCCCCTATTCATTTGAAATTCCCATCCATACACCCCTTCAATTTTTGAATTTCTAGCCTTATTTGGCATTTTGCACAGCAGCCGAATCCTAATACATATTCGTCAGCCACCAATTCCCCTCTCACTTCATTGCCTCACTCTACATCAACGGCAACTGGATATTTACTCACCAAATAAACTTGATAAAATCCCAATTTCCAATTTCCACCCTCTTGAACCATTTGAGCCCGTCCGGCCCATTCAACCTATTCCACATATGAGTAAACATCCACACGATGACATTTATGGATATAAGATTAATAAATATGTCACTTACATCGGCCTTTCTTCCATCTTTCAATCCATACTACATCAGCAAAAGTATTAGCATCGCAACTCACATATTTCCCCTCTTCTCATCTTCCGTATTTTGCCCTTCCCACCACCCACTCACCCCCTTTACCTTAATCCAAACTCCTAGAAACGGTGTAACACCAAGTAGATAGAAGAACTCACAGCCACAACTCCAAACAACATAACCTCCGTCGATCCCTTACCAAAGGGAAAGATCTTGTGGGCCGTATGCAAACGACTTGCTACCTTTTCCCACATGCCTTTTCTGAAAGCGAGAATTTCTGGAGGTTTGTATTAGCGTTTTGCTTCCTTCATCAAACCTTGAAGTCCTATTTTCTTTCCTCTTTCCTACTCGCTCATCCTCTTTTCGCCAGAAAAGGAACTCTTTCCCCCATCCTCTAAATCTCGTGAGCCCCCCAGACTCCTGTCTCATCATCTTTCCTCCATACATACCAAAGATGCAAAACAAAAACGAAAGTCAAAACTCACCCTCCCTCCCCTTAACTCTCTTAACCCCCATGATCACCTCCGCATCCTCAGCGAATTGGTTCGCATACCTATCGACGCATCCACATATTAGCTTTATCCTTTTGACCCATCACTCCATCAACTTCAAACCCGTCCATCTCCATTTCCAGAGCACCCCATCTCTCAAATTCTTGCTTTTCCTCCAGTTCCCCAAATCTAGAATATCAAACTCATCCATCTCCATCTTCAAAGCTGCATTTCATAACTCCTCCACACCACCATAATCCTTCCAAACCTTCAAGCATCCGATCCCCGAAATTTCCGAACCCCTTTCCATTCAATCCTCCTACCGACCCTCTTCTCAAGAAACATGAGAACCATCCAATTACTCCTCGCCCTCCCGTTCCATTCCATCCCTAACCCAACTCCTCTCCACAATCCTCCGAAACAAATTCCAAAATAAAAGGCTCAACTCACTCCTCATGTTTCTCCTCCGTATCGCTCAACTTATAAAACGCCTCAAAGAACTCTCTAATCCCCTCATCTACCTCAACCCCCTGTGGATATTCCGATTTATATGAATGTTGCGACATCTTTACTAACTTCTGATGATGAATCAATGAGATAGCTTGAAAACAATTTACAGTGTATGATGAGATGAAAGCGTCAATGACCAACGTATCTTTTGTAGATGTTGTCTGGGTGGGGTGCTTCGGGGAGCTATGCTTAAAATGTGGGGTGCTTCACGGGCCCGAGTTGATCTCATCTCATCGTAAACATTCGTCGTCACTTACATACAAGCTCATTGTAAAATCACTTTAAACACTGATAGACGCAACTTGGATGTTTTATAATTTACTGATTCATCCATGTGCTACAATCCATTTGATGAATAGGCTAGTCCATCCATAAGGAAAAGTGTAAAAAATACAACTATTGCGCTATCGTATCATTCTCCGTATTTTGATCAAAGCAAGCAACCGACCAAAGTGACGAATAAATTCCGTACTCCATCCATACCAGCGCCACCTGATCCCTATGAAATAATATGTTGGAGTATCATTCAACCCATGGTATAGCAAGCAAACATCCCAGAAAACTCCACCCGATCAATATAACCTTGTGATACTCAAAAATCAACTACTCATCATCATCTGTTTTTAGAACGGGGTACAAGCTCTCAGCTGGCTTCTCCTCGGTCTTTGTTGAGACGCCTTTCATATCAACATCGGCCGCAGAGGCATCTTCTTCATCCTTGACATACTCTCCATTTTGAAGACGCTCACTGACATATCTTCGCAAAGCTTCAATGACACGAATGTTCTCAATCCATGCCTCTTCAGCTCTATCGCGAGCACTCTCAAGAGTGTCAACTGATCTAACTGTAGGTGAAGTTACAGAAAGAGCTGGATCAATGTTATTTGTGACATCAGTTTGAACGATAGATTCAGGGCGAGGAGTTGTTTCTTTTGGAGATGGTGATGGAGAGCTAATAGTAGCGGTCTCCATAGACTCGCGATATTGACTAGAGTTGAGTCCACCAGCACTTCTTTGAAGGACACCACCAGAGTAACGACGACGAGGATCACTATCAAAGTTTGTGCCAAGTGTAGATGTTGGTGCAGTTGCTGAATGATGTGGAGAGTATCCGAGAGAGACTGCAGGGAGGTTGGGGTATGATGCAGTTGATGTAGAACTATGTCTAGAGATGGGAGACAATCCACTTGAGGACATTGGAGAATTGCCAGAAGTATATGAAACAGAGCTTGAGGAAGGTGTTAAAGCTGGTGTACCTGATGAGTGAGATGAGTGGGTGGCGGTCATTGGTGCTGAGGCGTAAGAAGTCGAAACATGTGGTGCCATTGAACCAATGTTGTGGATTTGAGTTTGTGGTGGTGAGTGACTTTGACGGAAGTTGATAGACTGGTGAGTGTAATGAGCACCAGGTTGATGAATGCCAGCTGCAGCTGCAGCATTTGAACTTTCGTAGACTGTTGATTGCATTTGCTCCAAGAATTGATCAATGGAATTCAAATCACTCTTTGTCCTCAAGTTTGGTAGAGGTAGGGAATATTGGTGTTGTGGGATAGGACCTCCATGACCCCCATGACCTCCATGGCCATCAATTGGAACTAATTGAGGTGCTGAATGAATGTAGTCATGGATAGCTCCACCTCCATTGATAGGAATACCTTGCAATGCCATCAACCTTTGGTTAACTTGTTGATAAGAATTGGCATCGATTTGACGACGCTTAGCAGCACCAAAAAAGTCATTCAAGTTATCGTAATTTCGCTTTTTCTCATCCCAAGCTGCATGTTGACCAAGGTCGGGGTTGTGAGACATCTGGTAATAGCCTGGGCCTCCTCCATATGAAGATGGTGGAGGATGAGCGGGTGCGTAATATCCACTATGGCCACCATGATGCGAATTGCCATACATCCCGGAACCAGGATGCATTGAAGCATTATGATCATAATAACCCATGGGGTTTGCTGCGAGGTGCTGCAAATTAGCAATTACTACGTAAGAAAAGTTAGAGACATTTGTATGAACAGAAGGCAACTTGCGCCCTTACGTACCTTTGCCACCAGGTTGTCTATATCCTCCGTTTGGGCCACCAGGTTGTTCGGGAGATCTCAACAAAACAGAGTCATCGGCATGGGTCTGATAGTATACATTAGCACAGAGAAAGAACTACACGCCAGCTCTCGGTCTTACCTTGACATGTTTCTTCAAATCTTGAGGACGCTTGAATGCTTTTCCACAGAATTCACATTTGTGTGGTTTGAGAGGAACATGAACACGAATATGAGATGTAATATGATCGCGCTTGACAGTAGTAGTACGGCATGAATTCCAGCCGCAAGTGAGGTTCAAGTTGTTGGTACTTTTTCTACCAACATGTTTCTCGCAGATATGTTCCTAGGATAGAGCATAAGTATGAAGACTTTGGGATGAAGACTTTGGAATGATGCAAGGTATGATGATATAAAACTATGGAAACCAAAGCAAACATACAAATAAAGATTCTGGAGTAGGACATCTTTCAGAACATTTCTCCCATTGACAGAGTAAACTATCATCAGATACAACGTTTTGTTGAATTGATGGAGTTACTGTAGAAGTAGATTCTGCATTAGAACTCGAGGCTGTCGAAGTCTGAGGCTGTGCAGTTTGTTGCTGCTGCTGCTGCTGCTGCTGGTCTTGAGTTGACATTGTGAAATTAGGAATAGGAATAGATCAATTAATTAGATCAACCAATGAAGGAAAGTCGGTTAATTGAACCTTTCACAGGCTAAACTGTGTATGGAAATGAATTAATCCAAAAAGTTATGGGTCTTGGCTGTATCGATATCAGATTGATGAAAACAACTTAATCGATAAAAGTCCCAACGTTTTGATAAAATATTGGAAGGCAAACTGGAATCAAAGAAAGAAGGAAACTCTTATTCTTTTTCGAATTGTGTTTCTCTCAAGAATTCTCCAAGCAAAGGGAGGATCTTGGTGCCTTCTTGTAAGAAGAACGGAATCTTCTGGGCGGGACCAAATCTTGGCAAGAACACTTGGCGACCGTATTAAGCTTAGCTTCCACTCCTAGTGTCTTGGTATTCCACTCGGATCAAACTTGAGTTGATTATTTGATTGGCTGACTTTTCTTGGCATGTATGGAAGGAACATGTGCAAACCCTTATTGCCTAGAGGCAGAGAGAGTAAGAAAATTGTCAAAAATTACCAAAAATTGCTAATAAGTTAACCTTTTTAAACCTTTTCAAACCTTTTTAAACCAAGAGATTGCGCCCCGAGGCCAAGATCGGAGAAACTTGGCTATCTGCGTAATTTCTTGGTATTTGGGCTGTGTTTTTCTTACATGTAACTTTTGGCCTTTTGACCTTTTTGCCCATTGTCCTCTCCGGAGTACCTTCTCTATTTATATACCTGTGGGAGTTTCATATTCATAAGATGATTCAATCTGAGATGACTGTCGCACCATACATATATGAGTGAATTTTGGAACAAACAGATTAATGTATGAGCATGAGCTTGAGCATGAGCATGAGCATGAATAGATATGTTGATATCCACGATGGAGAAAAGGATCCCCAACTACTTTATTAGTCCGCTAGTTGATTTGAGACAACGAAATGGGAAAGAAGTACTAGGTAAAGTCACTTGGTCGGCTATAATCACTGATAATTATCAATAAGCTTCACGATACATTAACTACCAGTATCTTTATCTTTTACGTGAGGTATCTCTACTATATAGAGTTTAACCTAGGGAATGAATTGCGCCTAGCCACGGTATAGAAAGTAGATGATATGACTGTACTAGAGATTCAATTTGGATCATCATGCAGTTGGTTACACTGGAGGTCTTATAGTTCGAGCACATCATACCATACTTTTTCATTATTCATTACGTGTGGTATGCAAAGAAGAGGCAGCTGAGTGATTAATAATAAGATTGAAGTCACATTGTCCTTAATAAAAGTAGGTACCGCCGTGCAGTGCAGTATGTAGGCGAGGTAGGTAGGTAAAGAAAGAAGAATTAACACGGCAAAGGTCAATTTCTTTCAAATTTGAAAGAATCCATACTTATGAGCCTGATTGTCTCGTAAGAGGTACACATACCGAGGTCAGTTAGTGTGTAATAAATTATATCATACCTACTCGAGAATGCCTCGAATTCCTTGAATTCCTTCCTCAAAGACGCCTTTGGCATACTACACCAGACTCGAGTAATACTTCCGTTAGACGACCAGCCATCAGCTACGCATGTCAGGTCGTCTCGTATTATACGAATATGTCACCATCATATATTTCAGAGGGCCCTATGGAAACTGCGTGTATCTATTTGATGAGATGATAGTACGGAGTACAGAGTACAGAAACAGTAGGTACCTAAGGTATCGGCAAATAATCCACTCATTTCTCTCAAGCTTTCTTTCCATTTATGCGGGGTGGGATGATCCACCCCTTTTTGCACTTTCAGCTGACTGAGTGTCAGACTGAGCGCATTAATCCATTCCAATACTGCTGCAGATGTACGGAGTGGACATGCTATGGGATACTATGGGCAAACATACCATGGGCAAAACATACCACGGGCATACATACGCTACATCTGGTCAATCATTCGTTCATTCATTCATAACATACCTAAATAATTTATGAAACATTCTATTTTGGCTGTACGGATGGATAATTGATATATCCTCTCTGACTCCATATGACCAATCATTACCCCATACAATTTCTACTACGTACTGCCCAGGCCTTGGCCACCCACAATATCTTGATTCCTCCGCCCATTCACCAAGCTTTTCCACTCTAATGCCAATTTATTTCTCTTTGTTTTCATTTCACTTCCAAAGTTCTATGATTGTGTAACTGGCCAATCAAGTACACCTTTGCTCACCACATGCTCTATCATTATTCAAACAACTATCTGATCGCGAACGGAGACGGAGGAGTACTGCAAAGGAAAGTGTTGATGCCCTTCGATTTGTATGGCAAATTTGATTGTACGTACAAAGTTGTATGACTCACTGGCCGAGATAAAAAGATCCACATCCTTCATTTCTAGAGAGAAACTGGCGACGATGACTCTTCTCTTCTATTCAATGCTGCAAGGTCCATCAATCAAAAGGTCACCAAGGGAGATTTGAAGGTAGGCACTGATAGATAGGTAAGGTAGCAAATATACTTGAAAAGTGTTAAAGGCAAAGCAAGCTCTCTGTCTATTCCCCAAATCAAAATAAGATACGAAAAGTTCCGTCTTTCTTTCTATTTCTATATTATCCAAACAATAGTTATTATACCACAGATATCATACCCTTCCCCTTCAAACCAATTAATTTCTATTTCTGAACAATTCGAGCTATTTTTACCCTCCACACTTTCCCCATGTCAGACGACACAAATAATGAGGAGTTGATACTCACGCGATACTTCCAAGACCAATTCCGCGTCCCTACTCCAGGATGGTGTGAAGAAGCTAATCTAGCTTTCCAAACATTGCAGAAGCTTTTGGATTCTAGTCTTGCGGGTCCAGAAGAGGTCCTTGATAGCCAAGATCAAGGAGGTATTCCAAGCGCTCGTCGTGCTCGCATTGGCGCCCTCCCAAAGCTTGTCTGTTTTGCTACTGAAAGCCACGCCATACAGTGTACGGCAAGAAACGAAACATTGGAATGCGTGGTTTTTGGAAAGATTTCGGCAAGTTTGTTTATCGACGTCTTTTGGGAGGCAATTCAAAAGGCTCAAGTTGAGTATCCGAGTACGAATATTATTGTGTCATCGGTTTAGCTAGGTCCACATCCGTTGTTTATTATACGAATCAATGACTTCATTTTTGAGGTTAATTACGGTAGATGCGAGACGTTTGTGAGAGAATGTATGTTGTCAAGTGCCCCCCTTAGATAACTATAGGAAGTAACTCCACTCATGCAACGGCTATTCAGACGGTTAGTGTTGCGCACATATCGAATAGCCACGATGAAGTGCCTCAAAATATTCCACTAGCGGCCCTGCAGTACTGTGACGAATGGCCGTTAAAACAAGCCATCAGAATTCCTTGGTAAACCGATTTCGCTCAAGAGTGTAAGCTTCTGTCTGGTTTTAACCCCTCTCAGAACTTTATCTCCATTTCTTGGCCATCTGCCATACCTACCCGGGAATGTGACTTTGAAATGCCAATCTGACATGATACAGTCAGAATGGGAAGCACTCTACACCATGTCTACCACCACATCGGAGCCTGGGCAATGGTTCAAGGACTTTAATGCAGATTCTAATATTGGAAGTAAGACTTCCACTTCCATCATTGCCCTTTTACAACATTCATTATCATCAGTTCCTGAACCAAATCATGTGAAACTCAATGCTGCAGAGAGACCGGATCAAGAGTGTGACGATCCAATAATCGCCTCGCTATCGTCAGGCATTGGACCAAAATCATTTCAAGGACCTCGATATCAAAACTATCGTTCGTCAATTTTTTACCTACTATGAAAAGGTTCCAGAAATTGATCTAAAACACTGTTACATTGAATGTGTTACCGGTCTCTTCAACGATGATGAAGATGAACATCTAACCGAGTAATTTCCTTTTCCTTCTCCTATCACCATATAGACACTAACATCAGACCAAAGAAACCAACTCACTCAATGGAACAACATCTATAACTTCTACCATCATCAAATGCAGATAGATCAACTCTCGAACTCCTCTACCTAAATTTCCAGCTCATACATTCCACCATCGAAAGTACCCCCGTAGAAAGATATCCTCATTTCTCATATTAGAAAAATCTTCTCGCGAGTATTCAACACCAAGATGTGTTGGCTAAACTTGTAGGTGAAAATATCATGCAGATAGATTTCGTGTACTCAGGTATCTCCTCACTGGAATGTGGAAAATGGTTGGATATGCTTGGTGGTAGATTGAAGGAAATGAAGAGTTGTAAGTACATCCACCAACCCACCTACCCATCATTTGTTCCTTCCACAAATCGAAATACGATAATGATAATCCCTATAGCTCTCACAATCCTCAAATCTTCCTCTTCACCCTCACCCCCAACCCCTCCATCTATGGCCCCACCCCCTAGTCGATCAAGAAGCAGATGATTCCTCTCCCTCCCACGAAAGATGTTCTCTCCTCGGTCTAGCCAACATCGACTCCCTAGACCTCAAGCCCACCCTGCAAAATGACTTCCTCGACTCCAGAAAGACAGTCCACGTCCCCAAATCAGAAAGGATATCTATCCTACACTACCCACGCCTCCCCCTCTCTCACCAAAACATCCCATCTCCATCTCCGACTCAGCACCCGCACCTTCTTATCTCCTCTCCATTTCTCCGCCCAATACCTCCCATCCAACTCCCCCCCCCCCCCCCACCCCACACGCAAATCCTTCCCGAGTCCTCCCTCACTGCGAAAGACATTCTCCACCGTCTCCTCCACCACCCCTCTTACACTTACTCCATCGAAAACCACCTAATCAGTTATCGCGATCACAATCGCCACACCGGCATCATGTTGAAAAATACTTCTGATCAGAAACTCGACACCATGGACGAGGAATGGATTCCGAAACATAAAGTTCTCGCGTGTGTGTATTTCTATATTTCTTCCTTTCTTCCTTTCTTCCTTGTCCATCTATCTCATTCTTATACATCATTCCTTTCTTTCCCTTTGCTCTCCTATCCTACTCTACTCTACTCTATTCCTTTCTCTCCCCCCCCCCTCCCCTGCATATCTTAACCCCACACCACCTCGAATTCCTCTCCTCTCCACACACATCACCAAGTAAACCCCCAAATTCACCCACCCACACCTCCAATTCCCAATCTCCAACACCCCAACCCCCACTCACCCCAGGACTTCATCCAAATCCTACCCTATCTGACCAGAACCAGAACTAGAACCAGAACCAAAAAACGATTCATCAGGCACCGTACCCAAAAACTCAATCCCCTCTTCGGAAGCGGCGGATCCACATCGCGCTGGGGAATCAACGGAGAGAAATTTGATATCGATGTTCCTGGATTTATTTGATTTGATTTCAAAGGGAGATAACAAGATGGTGCGTAGAATAGATAGAATCCATAAATCAAATCCATAGAGTATAATACATAACAAACGCATGAGCGAAGAAAAAAGGCATCGTAGAATATGATATCCACCAAATTTTAAAACACTTCCATTATATCTCTCTCCATTTATCCACTCGTACATACGAATATTAATTGTTTATACACACACGTCCACACACAAACAGCCCACCAACCAACTCAGTGGCCAGTCAGTCAGCTAGCCAGCTAGCCAGCAGACCGAAGAGAGCTTCACAAGATTCCATCTCCCATCCATAAAATATACAAACATAATCATACACTCTCCGGACCAAGATTGCAAGGAGAAAGTCATGAATTCATGACCTATCCATCGCCTTTGCTGCATGCAAGCAAGTAGGCAATCATTCCAATTCCCAAAGTCATTATTATGAATCAAACCAGCCAGCCATATTGTAAACTCCATATTAGCTGATTAGCCAACCAGCAAACAAAGCTACCGCCCATAATCCCAGCCCACCCATTACCTTTTCCTCCCTCTAGCGTTGACCTCCCCTTTCTCACCAATCCCCAAAATAATCCTACAATCCGGACAATACCACTTAGTGGTTCTAGGGGGAACAGCCGTCATCTCCACACATTCTAGATGAAACCATTCTTTCTCGCACTATCAATCAATCAATCATTAGTCTCGTCTCATCTCGTCTCTATTTCTTCCCTTTCCTTCCTCTCTTCCATGCCCAATACAAACCCAAACACAGACCTCTTGTGGAAAGGAAGACTCACATTATCATTCTCACAAGCAATCATCGTGCCAAAGCTAACCCGGTTACAAATGCAATATCTCTGTTCGTTTGGATCAATCAAATTTCCATCATCATCTACCTCATCCAAAACTTCTTGAACCGCACTGCCTTCTCTACCATCTTTCTTTTCCTTTTTCTGTCCTGCTTTTTTGCGTGGGGCAGCACGTCTTTTGCCAACACTTACAGCAGTAGATCCACCTTCTGTAGTAAGAGTTACAACACCTGGAGCAGGCCTTTTAGCTCTTTTGCTCGGTTGACGAGTTTCTGGTGCCGGTGTGTTACGAGCTGTGCTAGTACGTCTAGGGCGATCTAATGCTGCTGGCATAGGAGCTGCAGAAATGGGCTCTTCTGCTTTGATGGCGGCGGCAGCTACCGCTTCCTTTGCAGCGGCTGCTTTACCACGAGAAGATGTTGGTCTTTTGGCTGGGAGGGGTTCTGATACCGGTGGTGTAGTGGGTTCAATTACTTGAGCAACCGGAGTTGCTTTTCGAGTGGCACGTGTGTTAGTTGTCTTCTCTAGCTTTTCCAATTTTGGATCTTCCTTCTTTTCTGCCGATTCCGATTCCACAACTGCTTTTGCGGCTTCCTTGGCTTCTTTTCTAGCAGCCGCTGCTGCTTTTCTCGCCTCTTTCTTGGCCTCCTTCTTTTCCGCACCCGGAGGAAGAATTGGCGTTGAGGATTTTGGTGGTGATGTAGCCGTTACTGACGCAACCGGGGTAGAACTGATTGGTGTATCTGTATTTGGTACTGATAGAGCAATGGAAGATGCCACGGAAACGGCAGATTCCAAAGTTGGTACAGGAGTTGCGCGGGGAGTGGCATTTGTGATAATGGGATGAGGGGGTGGAACCGGGGTTTCAGTCTTCGTTCTCTTGAATTGAGGCTTACCTAATTTCGAAGAATCTACTTCATTCACGTTATCACCTTGAGCGTCATTCGTGTCAGTTATGCCATCTATAATCGAAGGGGTTGCCTCGCCATTCGCCTTTACATCTTCGATAGTGGACTCGCGTTTTCGTTTTTTCGATGCTGGCTGCTTCTTAGGTGTTTTAGTAGGAGCTTTCTCTTTTTCTTTTTCTTTCTCTTTCTCTTTCTTCTCCTCTTCGGGATGATTCCCAAAAAGGCTTTTTACTGTACTAGCAGCTTCTGTCATCTTTCGTACAGATTCTTCAGCTTCTTCAGCCGCCAATTTGGCAAGCTCTTTTGCGGCTGCCTCTCTCTTTAATTTCTTGGCTTCGTTAAGCTTCATACCACGATTGCTAAGTTGTATCTCCTCTGTGCCTAAGGCTTCTGCACTTATAGCACCTTCGGCGATAACTGTCTTCCCGGTGAGTTGGGGTGGTACCGATTGTTCGAAAGGCTGTCCTGCAGCGTCAGCCTTACTCTTTGCAGTACGATACGCTTCAATTCCTCGTCCCAACTGTTTTAATTCACGTGCGATCATTGTATCGCTCGGGCTCCATACCGCATTCTTTTTCATTCTCTTTCTGAGCTTCGCAAGCTCCCATGCGGTCAACTGAAGCCAAGGCGCATCTTCGGTTCCCGCTTTCGCATCCGGTGGTGGAGGTTGGAGTTTCGCTAGCGCGTTACTTGTTGATATTCCGGCAACCGCACTATGCACGTTTGTTCCCATAACTCCAGGTGGCCTTGGTGTCCGGGGGGCTTTTGGTACTTTCTCTTTCTTAGCTTGCTTGACCTTCAACTTGATTTTAGGATTGACCGATACAGATCTCGCAGGTGTCTGCCGACGTGGCGTGGGTGGACCAGCGTCGGATTCCGAATCATCACTGTACGAGTCATAAGAATCGTAGTCGAGCTCGTATGGAGCCATGACCTCACCAGGAACAGTGATGATTGGCGCGCGTTGTTTGCGAACACGCATACGACCATCAGGGTTTCCAGTCCGCAAAAGTAATTTTCCTGGCAATCGATTTGCGACAGGTGAATTTGGCTTCTGCGGGACAGGACTTGTTTCTCGAGATTCGGGATAGCTTTCGGCCATGGTCTGAAGCTTCGCCAATATATTCTGGGCCCTTTTGTAATGTCTCTCTACGTTCTCCACCAGATGCGATGCTTCTGCAAAAGCCAATGTACGTGCACCGAGGGCATCAGTCAAGCTGGTAGATATATCTTTTCGCAAAGAGACAGGGTCAGGTTTTGTATCGGCAGGAAGATCGGGAAGGTGACCATAGGTTTTCGTCAAGTCATTCAAGTTCGATGAAGCATTGACATATTTCTCATCGAGGTCACTAATAAGTGCCAATGACCGAACCAAATCCGAAGGGAGATATTCCGTAAAATCGAGAAAGTCTGTGATTGTTGCCTGGGCATCCGGATCCATGGGTGACTCCATATTCTCAATGTTACTATTCAAGTTCGCCATAGATTGAATCGTTTCCGCGAGCTGGGCCTTACGGCCAGGACTTGTCATCTCCAAAGCGGAATCCATTGTATTATTTGCAGCCACGTTGATAGAGTTAATGTTGAAAATGATATTATCTATTGCTCTTGAATTGTCGACATGCGATTGTGGTGGGACCTTGATTCGACAGCTCCAAATACCTGACTCATCAAGCCATCTAAAGAGAGAAGAAGAAAAAAAAATTAGTAAAAGATTCCAGAGTCCAGTGTGTGTCGTTAAGAAAAATTGTCGAAAGTCAATTGTTAATGAAAGGTAAGAAAAAGATAATTGATGAAATATTGACCGAAAGAGTACGGAGTAGGTAGGCAGGCATGTAGTGCAGTGTAGTGTAGTGTAGTAATAGTCTGTCGTGAAAGCAACTAAAAACGCGAAAATCTATCGGCAAATTGTCAAGCGCGATACTGTCACCAATCCAAATCCTTACCTAACGCCTACTTTGCGATCATTGGCAGGTATTATTTTGGAATTTTGGGAGGGGGAAGGGGGGATCTTGGGTGTTTTTTTTTCTTTCCCTTTTCCTTCCCGATGATTTGCCTTGAGCCTCTTGTATCTTTTTTTTTCCATTGCCCTTTTTCCCTTTATAATATTTTGGGCCTTGCTTGTACCTGGCTGGCTCTTATCATGCCCTTCCCCCCCCCCAATCGGTCCCCCAATCGGTCCCCATCTTTTCTTGCAAAGCGGCGGGAACAGGAAAGCAAAGCCAAAAAGCCACAAGTCAAGTGAAAAAGCATGTAGCATAGCATAACATAAAAAATGCACGTGCTTTTTGTGGAGGGGAGGGGGAAGCTATGAAAACAGCTAATGTAGGTATCTACGTAGGTAGATCAAAATAGCATCAAGGTACCGGTAGTTATGGGGAAAAAAGGGTAAAAATAAGTCCAATATAGTAAAGTAGAAAATAGAAAATAAACAAAAAAAAAGGGGGAAAGAAAGCTTCTATCAAAAAACATACCTTCTGGATGCATCTGATGCCATATTGGTTTGAGAGTCGGATGCTATTTTCTTCTCTATCTTGATCGGATCGAATGTTGTTTGAAGTTTGTAGCAGAGGAGACGCGATATCGATGAGGCTCGGAAAGGGAGTATGTGTGTATAGATAGATGGATGGATGGATGGATGGATGGATGGATGTGTGGATGTGTGGTATGTACATACGTACGTATGTACAGTAGTAATTCCAAGTACCGTGATAAAATATTGAGAGAGATGGCAAATAATAGGCAGGTAAAGTTGGCGACCAGAATAATATAGTTCTTTAATCGAATCAAAGACAATTAAAAAGATCCTAGATTTGGGTTGGTGTATTACGAAGCCTACATATTTCATTATAAAAATATGCCAAAAGGTGTCATGGGTTCCAAGGCTTTGTTTCGTGAGATTTCAAATATGCCAGTAATAAGTAATGCCGTAAGTAAGTAGGTAGATTTGCCAAAGAAGATAGGAAGAAAGTAGCAGTAGCAGTAGCAGTAGCAGCAGTAGAAGCAGTGGCCGTGACCGTGGCAAAGTGAATGGGATCTGTACGGTATCTAGATCATACAGAAAGGAGTAAAGTGCTGGGTGTTGAAGGCTGGATTTGATGGATGGAGCTGATCATGAATAACATCAACTGGAAAGGGAAGGTTGGACTGGTAAAACCAGTTTGGAAGCGTATGGAGTATGAAATGGATGGATGTAATTTAGTTGTTTTGGGAATCGATGTAGATGATGAATATTTAATTAATGCTTCAATGCTAGTGATTATCAAGATGTTTTATTATAATCTGATCCGTTTAAAATGATTGTTTTTAAAATGATTGTTTGCACCTTCCCACTTACGATTTACGATTTCACCCTTTATTCACATCAGCCCTGCCCCCCCCCCCCCTTCTTGTCTTGAAATTGCGGTTAAGCTATGGGTCACAAGATTGCACAATATGATCTGAAAGGAATAAAATGCCTGCTTACTTTCGCATCTCAAATGTCCGCCTAGTCCTATAATAAGACATGGACAGTTACGATATCATTGATTTACCAAAAGTAGATATAAGTACCTACCTACCTAGGTCTCTATCAATACAATAAGTTTCAATTCACATTCACTTCATTCTGGTATAATAGGCATATAGACGTACCCCAGACTCCTTTGTTGGAATCAATACATGCATCTATTTTTAGAAATAACCTTGATATCGGCATACAACATCCATCAAAATCATCTGCACTCCTTTTCACGAAATCAAAACCATAAAGAATACTATACAACACGGTAAAACAAATCATCACACCCGCCGACTATTACTTGAAAGTGTTTATGATTATTTCCCCCGGGATGAGTAGATTGATCCCCGAATCTTTCTCGCCGTGTCAATAAGCAAACATGTGAACATATTCCCCTGTATCTCAAGCCAGTGATCAAATCAAAAAAGTCTCGCTTCAACCAGTCAGCTATACTCCGCCAAATCAATAAATCCCAAAAAAGAGGAAATAACAAGATCCGTATGCGTCTTCTTCCATGTACAGTAATTCTCTCCTTCATCTCCCCTAATGTACCTGCCTCCGACTTCTCTCAACGTCAAGCCATCAAATCTGCATCACGCTCTCCTCCCTAAACCGCACCCACAAACCCCAAGACACCCCCACAAATTCCCGCAGCCACAACCCAGATACCCGAATACGCCACAGCACCGAGCGCCTCAACCCCCTCAATCGTAACATACGTCTGCAAAAAAGTGTTAACACCCGTAATCATCATCAAAGTAGCTGTTCTCTTGATAATGATTCTAGTTTTGTTCGAAAAGCCCCACAAATTATAGAGAATAGTCTCTTCCAACGTAGCAGTTTCAGGATTGAATGGCGGAGGTACCGAGTCTGAGGGCTTGGTAGCTGTGACCGGGGTGAAAATGAATGAACGTGTTGCGAGGCCTAAAAGTAACATAACAGGAAGGAGAGAAGTAGGTGTTGCGGTGTGAGCGGCAGTAATAGATGGGATACCTTCAAAATAGGTCGCAAAGTAAACTGGCATGTAGGACATGTATGCACCGTAGAGAGTAACGCTGTAGATAGATGCCGCTAGGAGTGTGGTAATGATCTGAACGGGAATATCTGAAGTGATGTCTCGGTTTGGTACAGATGGGGCGTCTGCGTGAGCGGGAGAAAGAGGTCGAAGCAATCGGAATGGAATATAGGTTGTGAGGGTATCGATCAGAAGAGATGACACAACAGTCTTCACGCTAACTTCATAGAATGCGTTAAGAAGATACAACTAAACCCCCAAAATCAGCACATACTCATCACAACTACGAGCGCAACTTGGTAGTGGGGCCGAAATTTGAGGAGAAAAACTTACTGGAGGACCACGAGATAACAAAGTCATAGCCGCAAAATCATACCCATCATAATTACCAAACCAACCTAATGCCAATTCCGCAGTCCTCCACGCAACCAACCCCGCCGCCTCTTCCCATCCCTGATACCTCCTACTAACACTTCCCAACTCCTCTGCCTCAACATAATTCGCACGCAAACTGTAAGCCAACCCACTTCCCATCAAACTGAGAACTACTACCAAGGGAAACCGTAATAGATCTGGCACCTTTGATGGTTTCCGCTGTGAGAATCCAGAGTCGGCGAGCAGTGTCTTGACAAGCATTGAATTCTCATCATTCTCTCTCTTCGCTGCCTCCCTTTTCGAGTAATATTCATCCAAATCATCACCCCTTTGCAGATGGCTTAGATCCCCATTAACAAGCTGATCCGCTGCCGCCTCTGTACTGTCTGCCAAACTCTCAACCTTATCTCTTCTTAGTGATCGTGTTGCTGGGGCCATTTTCTCCTCTTTTCCTTTACTATTATTGTTTTCGTTCAGAATCGTATTGTGCGTTGAAATCCTGTGTACTTGTAAATAACTAAGTTTGATCGATTATATAAATAAATGAAAGTTCCATACCCGTCTGTCGTTTCCTAACAATTCCGTCCGGCAGCAAATAAACAAAACCAACGCGTCTCCTAGGGACGGCGCGCTTATCCCACAAGTATAAAAGACTCTTTTCACTTTTCAATTTTTCTTTTATTGATCACAAAGCAACAAAAGCTTTGGGTTTGATCGTTTGATTTTATATCGTTGAATTGATTCTTTTGATGTATAATTGTAAAGTTATCTTCTGCCCATGCGAATTTTTTGCTTGCTTTGCATGATGCAGCTTGAGCTTGGACACCAAGACGTCACTACCGGTGAGCTATCATCAATCCAGTTCCTTGTATACAAGAGTCGTTCTGCCAACCACCATTTTTTCATTTCAATTTTCTCACTTTTTTCAATTGGTATCCACATCGAAAAATTTGATATTTCTAATTTAAATAAGTAAAGTCGTGTTGCTTCAGGTTGTTGGAAATAAGTTTTCAATTGATAATTTGTCTTGCTTTGCTTTCTTCTTAAACCTCTAACACTTTCACTTGCTTCGTTTGCCTTTTCCTCTACATCCGCTCCATTTATGACTACTGCAAGCCTAATTATTTGCCAACTTCTTTCTTCTGCGTCAAGAAACTTTATCCCAGACCTAGATAACATGCCGCACTCTACCCAACCAATGTCCAGCAAGTGCTATCCAAAAGCCTCAAGCCCAGTGATGTTATCTGAAGGGGAAATGAAACCCTATTGAAAAAGGACTTGCAGGTAGTTACGTGCTTGACAATACAATATACCTCGATGTGCCACTCTTAACCACATCGATATCGTCGCCACCATCACTATTATCATATTCACCATCAAAATTGGTACCAAATGGCATGGACATTAAGGATTTGCATGTCTGGCTGATGGGTATACTCTTTTCATTGATAACATTTGTTTTTATTGTTCTGGTAGATCAACCCGATTCTTAGTTTTAACCTCAGTGGATCAAACCCCCACACATTGGTGCTAAGAATCGACCGAATTTTACTTATTACATTGCTACTACAGGAGAAGAAAGGGAAATAATCACAATGGCCAATGGAAAGGTTGCTTCGATTGGCACATTTAGATTTGTCGGCAGTTACTCCTCCATATGTCCAAAAACACCATCATCGTCTTCGTCAGAACGACCGCGAGAACGCAGATCATAATCTTCCTCATCTCCCATACTATCATCGCCATCGTCCATTTGCACATCTCCATCTCCATGGAGTTGATGACGGTCATAGCTTCCTCTGGCAAAACTCTCCCTCTGCCGCGGGCGAAGGCTGGGTGTGTAACTTCCTGAAAGATCATTCAGATATTCAGCAGGGATTCCAGGTACGGGAGGAATATCATCTGGGAAGTCGCTTGAAAGAGATTGGTTCTCCATTGCTGTGGACAATCCATCTGCCTCTCGGTTCGCATTCATTCTAGAAGAGGGCGGGCGACGCTCATAATTTTGTTGGTGGAAAAGACCGAAGCCGACGGGAACGCTAGCACCGTAACGTACCCTTTCCGACATGGTATAAGAGTCACTATTTCCAGCATGTATCCTTGGTCCGTTGAACGAACTGCCACCGTATGCGTGGCGTATATCCGCAGGTGGTGGTGTCATATCCGTGGAGCTGGCACGATCAATCTCATGATCACCCAGACTAGATGCAGAATCCTGGTCATCACTTTGAGGGTCCTTTGCAGAGTCCGGTGGAGTATTGACGGAATCTTGGTTCATTCCTAGAAGGACGGCAGCCGCTTCTAGCAACTGTACTTGTTGGTGCTTTGAGATCAACAATTTCGAGGTGTAGGACCACTGTGGTGTATGTTCCCATCTGCAAACAAAAAGTTAATAACAATTCACAACACCATCACACAAAGCTTCCGCGCTGAAGCCCATGTGGAGGAAGATAGGAAAGGATGGTGGGCACGAACAAATGCTTAGACAAGCAACTGCTGTGCTTGTATCCTTTTCCACACTTGTCACACTTGAGGTCATTGGCATTGGCCTTCTTGCCATCTTTCAAGAGTTGTGATCCTTCGCTCGCTCTTCTCATCCTGTTCTTTGTAAATTCGTCGTCTTCTTCGTCCTCCATTTCCTCATCATTGTTATCATCGTCAATTGCACTCTCTCCACGCCCCGACTTCATAGTCAACCTTATCCTATGAGTTGGCAGACTCGATGGTGGAGATGGTAAACTGCCCATAGGTCCGGATCTCATTGTTGCTCTTCGTGTAGAAATCGGCATTGCCAAAGGATTATCGCCAACCTCACTCGCTGTCGCTGCAGCTAGAAGTGCATTAACATTACTCGCAACGTTCGAAGATACACTTTTGCGTCGAGTCACCCTGCTGCTCGGTATAAGTGATCCTGCAGATACTGAATGAGAGTGATTCCTTGTATGAGACTGTCGTGGATAGGAACTCGAAGAATTTGTAGACAGTGATGGAAGTCGGCCTTGGCTAGGTCTCGAAGAATGCTGAATTTCCTGTGAGAGAGATGAGAATGATCAGCAGTGTTCCTATAAATAGATAACGCTGGTATGTAACGAGGGAAATAAGGTAATCACCTTGGAAGATGCCATCTTGACAATATTTATTTCCTTTGTTCCACTTTCGAATTCGCAGAGCCGACCTTCAAGCCTCGAGCTATGATAAGCAATAATATGAGAGCGAGACAAAATAATGGGATGGAATATTGGCGACTGGTTTCGTAAATTGGTCGGGTTCGAGCTCCAGCTATAGACCGCGTGGTTCTTTGTAGGCGAGAGCAAATTGAGTGATTGGAAAAGCACCAAAAGAAGGAAGTACTGAGTGAATGCAATGAATTTCATAAAAACAATTATTATTCAGAGAGAGCAAACAAGACCCGTGAATCTGCCAAAGTAAAAAAGATGTTTGGAAATTTGTCGCAGTTGGAATGGAGAAATAAAAATGTTTAGAACCAGGATGGATCCAGGACTAAACAGAGGATCGAATGGCTGAGACGATGCAGGCCAGCGGGGTTTCGCAAGTTTCCGTTGTAGGCCACTGAGATACTTGTTGTGCTAAATGTTTCGATGAAGATGTGTTTATATGTGGAAGATAACAAGTGTAAATAGCCAAGTTCTCTTGCTTGTTGTTGTTGTTGTTGTTTCTTTTTCTCCCCTCGAAGTCGAGTAAATAAATGCCTGCTATAACTTCTGATGTAGATTGAGGGATTGTGCAAACTGAAACTGTGCACAATTGTAGAAATATCCAGAAAGCTTTGGGAAGGGGGGGAAAAAAAGTTGCGGTAACAGTAGATCTGGTACCAATTTTAGGATGCTTGGTTGCTTGGTTGCTTGCTAGTCTTTACCTTTTCCTTCCTGGGATTCCACTTTCCTTCTCTGTCGTATGTGTGTTCTCTTGGGGGATGAATCACTGGTAGAGCCAGGGGTCTGAATGGTAACTAACAAAATGGTAAATCGGAATTGGGTTTGATAAGATCACTAGGTTTGTGATCGAGTGTTGTAAATTGTTGATGTTGATATCTCTACGGCCGCCCTAGAAGGTAAGAAGGTAAGAAGGCAGATAGTTTGATGCTATCTAAGGTGTTTAGTGTGTGTGAATTGGCTGCTACAACACCTACTAGGGAGTATCATCAGGATATTATTCGATTTCGATTTCGATTTGATGGAGTCGTCCCACTATCAAGACTTTGGTTGGTCTTCTAGTTCCGGGGCCGGTTCGTAGTCATCCACCTATAGCCAGGTACCCAGTACTTCGTAGGCACAGAGAGTGAATTTCTAAACTCTGACCAAGCCGTAAGTCGGAGGCTTCTCCAGTGGTGAGTTAATGGTGAATAAATGGTAAATAAATGGGGGTCGGTTGGTTTATTCCACGGTTACCCCTAGTATAGAGTCGTGTATGGGAGTGAATACTAGATTGAGACACTGTACTAAGGCTTGGATCGTTGTGCGTGTGACAAGATAGTGAAGTGCTAAACGCTGACTTTGAGTAATCAAAATGCAAATAAAAGTGTGTTAAATTATTAGTTATCTGAAAATCAAGAGGAAGGAATACATTGTGATTGTAGATAATTAAATAACAATTAAATTTTTATTTCCAATCTTTTCAACATATAGTAGACGTCGCTTTCAGTCAATGGATATGTAATGTGTAACAAGCAATGCAATCAAGAACAAAGAAAGGTACGGTGTGTGTGTGTGTGTGTGTGTTATGTCAGCTATGAGGGAACATTCAGAAATCAAGAGTCTTCAGCAAAACAAATTATTCGAGATAAAAAAAATCAAGGCAATCAATAATAAATACATTTTGTTCCCCAATTAATAAGAGTGCAGCGAGAGGAGAACGATTTTCGAGGTTTCTTTGTTTATCAATTCAATTTAGTTGGATTCGTCCATTGCATTAGAAATCTCCTCTCAGTTGACCTTAATTGATTGATCTGCTCTATGGATAAGAATCACCATACACCTCTACATACGCATTACATTTATGGCATTTTATTAGTGTCACACACCCACTTCTTGACGAAATGCATACAAGATTTGAGAACAAGGAAATGGATCGATTGAGTGAATTCTACGAAGTAGGTAAAGGTAAGGCATATAGGAAAAAAGTTGAGGTAAAGCCCTCACGCACTCAATCTGTTCTTAAAATTTAAGGGCTGTGTGATTCCAGGGATTTCTAATCATGGACCAGTACCCATAGAGTGGAATGAATATCTAACTCTTCGTAACTCATAACCAAGATTTAGAAGGGATCCGTGACATACTATCTAGAGGCAGTGTAAAAAGTCATGGTGAGGTTGGATCGTCTCACCTGGCTTGCGAATATTCGCCTCCTTTCCCGTGCTTGTGCGAGAGGTGCTAGAGTAAAGGTGTGTACACTGTACACGGTTTATCTAAACATTTTTGGCATAAGTGTCCTAAGTGTCCTAAGACGACTCTGTAGAGAAAAGACTCCCTGCCCTCCACCCCCAAATATCACTTACCTCCTCTCCAGGTCTTTTCTCCTTTCCAACTGGGTATACGTCTTACTTCCCCCCTTCCAAATGTTGGTAACTTGGTATCAATATTATCAATATCAATAACTTCAAATGTGGATGCAACTAACATGGATTGATAGTAACATCAAGCGCAATCGCAGCCGCCATGGCACGCACAAATTATTTTGCATATTGATGAAATGGGCCCGATGAACTCATACCAAAGGTTATTTTAAATTAAATCTCCATAGAGAATACCATGACGTTGATTCAGATTTTGATGAATCGAGAAGAAATAAATCTTCAGGAGGTATTCAGGAGATTCAGGAGGTGACTCTACCCATCTATATGCCCCTTATTATTGCCTTCTTGCCAGTTCACAACTCCATGTTCATGTTGTATTTCTACCACCTGCCTGCCTGCCTGCCTGCCTGCACATTGCATATTTACATTTCCATCGCAGCCACCGACTCGTATCTACTCTGTAGAAACTTGAGATAAGAACCCTCCCCAAATACCCTCGGCTAAGTAATCAACCTCAGACCTGTCAACACGATATCCTTCCATACGCAAATTTCCATCTTCCCATATTACTTTTGCATTTGCTTCGCAAACTTTAACAATAGGTACTGCAATTTGAATTCCTCTCCCGAGAGTCACCTGGCACAAGTGGAGGAACGAAATGAACCGAGCCGAAACGATTTGATCATTCTTCACACAGTTCAGTACAGATCTAGATATCGAGTTCATTTCATAGGCGCTGGGAAACTGTTACCCTTTCTAAGTTCATACTACAGGATTGATAACCCAAAGATTACTTTTGGGCTGATGATATGAGGTAAGATGACCCGCGTGGCTACGTAAGGTACAACTCAGCTATCATTTGTTGTCTTTCTCTGCTGCCTTTCTTTTTCTTTGCCTCCCCCGGACATGGGAATCTTTGTTCCTGCGCCGAGACATCGATCATGCCGTCCGTCCCTGATATCAAACAATCAAACAATCACAATCCCGTGTGCACAAAATACCCAGCCGAATTCGATTGTTCTTACGTTTTCAACTTTTCGCCTCCAACTCCAACTCTGACAATGTGAATGAAGATGAGAGTGAGAATGAGAGACTTCCGAGAAAAGAAAACATCATACGAAGCAAATGGAAAATGGAAGTGCAGAAAGAATGATTCTAGACCTTTTCAGTCCCTGGTCTACCATGCACATGCTCTTCCTTGAGGAGGTAAAGATCATCGCTGCTTATTTTTCTTAGACGGACAGATCGCGCTGATTAGCATAAAGACACAAACGTGCCCTGCTTCTTGGGTGCATGTTTGGTCAATCATCTCGAGATTGTATCTTGAAACAATTTCATTGGATACACAAACCACTGGTGTGAGCGAATTGAGCAAAGCCTCCTCAACTCAAGAATAAAGTAATACCAGGGATCGAACAAATACCAAAATCCATCCCCACGACCTTTAAACCCCATCTGTTATTCGCTGCGAGCCTACAACAATAAATCAGAAGGACTTGTGTCGATCAATTGCTTCTCTAAGACCTTCCCGCAGCGGCTACAGGCATGGCTCGCATGGGCTTTATCATTCTATTCCAGTGCGGGGAGGGAACAGCTGGAAACAACTAGCAAAATATCAACCATAGCTTGTTATTTTGCCCTTTCGATGAGTATAAATCCTAAATTAATTTCTAACAATGGAATAGGAAATTCGAACCTCCAATTAGCTCTGAAGAATCCACGGCTAGTTAGTTAATTGATAACAGTTGGTGCTTCCTTCATGTGACTCCCGAAAAATCGAAGAAAGATCTTAGAGATTCTAGGATTGGATTGTGGAATTGAGTACGATGATTTCTGGGATGCGACCAAGACTTTATTTGTGACCACCAAGTTTCCTGGATAACATATTTTCAATCATGAAAGGGGAATTTGGGAACAATTTACGGTTTCCATGGTTTGAATTTGATATACATGTTCTGAGAGATGACTTTGTTCTAAGATTCTCCATATTTATATATCAATTGATCTTCTACCTCATTATCTTTTGAAACATTTTTCAATTCAACATTTTCCATGGAATTTCGAACACACAAGAATGTTCTAATCCTTGCTCCAAATATCATCATGTATGGGTGTCAAAATGGTGGTTGCTAATGCAGGATCATGTTACCTTTCATGGATGTCTCTGTATGACTGGCAGCACACAATATACAGGATGGGGTAGGTGATGCCTCTTATGGCGGAGTGAAGGATGAATTATTGATATTCTACAGTGAAGCCTTCCACTTCCCCTCATGATGGGGTGATAGTAGCATAGAGTGGCATTAAACTTAAGCTATATTCTACTTCTGGGGTCCATAACGCCTCATCGCTGAAAGCATTCATACATCTTATGTGCTGTGGCGAGTGGTGATAGACTTGCTCGACTTGGTTACCTTCTCCCAATGGACACACCACATGGGTGCCACACCCTGTGAAATACCTACTAGCAGCCATCACTCGTCGTCTACGTAGGCTTCCTGTATGAAATTGGCCTCACGTTTCCATACATCTTCAAACCTTCCATTCATCCAAATGGATCCACACACTGACGTTATCATACATACTCATCCAACTTCTCCCTCGGGGAATCAGCCAGACAGCCCGACGGTACCCGCACCATCTCAATGAACAATCTAGAACAATGTGGTCTGCACAGTAAACCGACTGAATTCTTACTAAGATCTTACAGCATCAACCAAGAATCTCCCTTCGGCTCTGTCGGCTTCGAGATTCGACTGCCACAGGAGGTCAAAACTCTGGAATACCACACACGTGAGATATATAACCTGCATTTGATAAAGCCAACCGGGGTTCTTCCGATGTAGGAGGGGAGAGAGAAGAGAGGGGAGAGGGGAGAGGGGTGCGTAGGAGGCGTCATCTTGGGGCACAAACACTTCTTCTTAGAGATATCTTGGGAAAGAGGCTTAGAGTATCGTATTGAAAAAGAAACATGGTTAAAAGAACCCCCGAAAGTTCTCTCCAAGCCATTGTGTGATGAGATGAGGGGAAAACACTTTCTTTCTGCAAATTGTGTACAACATGGCTAGAAGAATGTGTTGCACTACATTTTTGACATCCTGTAGCTGTCGATTCTTGCTTGTCTGCTTGCATTCTGTAACAAAGTACGGTATTCCATATTCCCTTTCCGGTCAGAAGACACATATATAAAATTGGTATGAATACACTCGTATTTGCTTTGAAGAGACATCAAATGCACATTAAATCAGCCCTCCCTCTATTTACCCCTCACACGAATTACCCCGCCAAATAATCAAATCGGCGCTCTCGGTATTTCCAGAAAAAAAGAAAAAAGAAAAAAGAAGATCTGCATGCGCCTGCAAAATCTCCAGGTTTGATAGACGGTATTAGGTAACTCATTCTTGAAGCTCTTGGGTGTGAGAAAAACAAATGATTGATGCCCAGAAAGTTAATTCCTAGGAGAGTAATTGATTGCTTGGGAGATGGAGATGGAACGAGTCAAGGTCTGAGGAGTGCGAAATGTTTATCTATCTTATCTATGATTTTATGATCTTGCAAGAAAGAAAAGTCGGGAAAATCGTCATAATTTTTGGGGGGAGAGTCGATGCGAGTACAGATACTTGTTTACCAGCTTTTGTGCGACCACCATTGATTGCTCTATCAATTGATCATATATAGTGATAATTCATCCATTGTTGTCGGAATACTTCTTGGTATACTTAGATTATACACCCAAAAGCAGAAGAACGAGCCGGAAACTCGTTCCAGAGGCGAAATCTGGAAGAGATGTCTCAAGAACCATATAAGAAAGTAGGGCGAGGCGGCGCGGGGAATTTCTATAGTAAACAGGATGTAGAGAGGAGTAATGGTACTTCTGTATGTATATTGTAGTTTCTTCTCTGCATTCTCTTCATCCCTCTCCTGCATCGTTCAGAAATGCTTCATTTTCATCTTCGCCTTCTCGCTTTCACTCAATCCAAATATCAAACGCACACTAATCCAACCCGCGAATAGGATCTCGAAGACCAATCCTCGTCCTCTTCCATCAAGCAAAACAAAACTCCCTCCCTACTCTTACAAGCATTGCGCGCCAAAGGCGCCGCTGGGCCCCCGCCAGAATACCAACGTTTGTTCCCCATCCTCTCTCATTCCACGCAAGAGAGAGCTAGCTCACACCTCAAAATTAGACACCGGTCGCGGCGGCGCAGGCAATCTCACCTCCCCCGCTTCGCTCGTAAATTCGGGTCTCACGCAGACATTGACGAATTATGATAACCCGACGATTAATCCCGCGCCGCCGTCGAGCTCGCCGAGAAATGTGAGGAGTAGTATGCAGAGTGTTGTTTATAAGGGTGGGGTGAGTTTGGATTTATTTACTTTAGTGCGGAAGAGGGAGGCTATTGGGGGAAGCAGAGGCAGGAATTGAGACGACGAAGATAACAATGTTGAAGAAATCAGAGAATGGATTGGCTGACAGGTCTATACATACAGAGAGGAGGCGCAGGAAACTACGACTGGGAAAGCGACGAAGCATCGAGAGAAACGCAACGCGTCTCGGAAGAAAACTCGCGCAAAGAAATTGAAAAGAAAGTGGTGGGTGAGATTGATGGGGATGGAGAACAGGGGCTGAAGAAACCGGGGAAGGCATATGATATTAATGCGGGAAAAGAGATGGAGGGCTCAAAAGGAGGGGCTCTGGGTGGAGTTTTAGAGTAATTAGAAATTTGATCAGCGGAGTAGTGTTTTGTTTCTGGTGGGTGGGTTATGGATATAAGAATTGATACCTATGTATGGGGTGGGTGGTAGGGCTCGGAGGGTTGGGACGATAGATGTGATATATATATTCCGGACATGAGGACGATAATGAGTAAGTACTTATATTGACAGATGAGAAAATATGAGACAGGATGAGATAGAAAGAAACTGTCGTTGTAATTATGTTGTATAGACATTGGATATTGGTTTTGGGTGAACTGGATATGTATACGACGGAGACTGTCTAGCGTTGATTTTTTCCCACAAAGTTGTTTGAATGGGGTACTTCAGTCTCAGGTTACCGTGAGGATCTCACAATTTCATGAGAGGAAAGTAAACATTCGGGGGTAGGAGTGAGGATTTGTCGAACCTATCTATGATCTAGTGGTCTACGGGTATCACGTTCAATATCTCAGAGACTTAGTATGAATATTCGAAGCGCAGTTTTTCCAAGGGGAATTTCAATATACGCTTTCAGGTGGAGCGATGAAGGAGTTAGAATATTGAATAGAGTGATTTAAGAGCGTCCAAGAAAGCAGCAGGAACGGAGAAGGCGAGAAGAGGTTTCTTCATAAATGTGGATCACAGTCCGATAATGATTATGGTATAACTTCGATCTTGGACATTGGATGTTAGGTAGGGGATTGTCTTTCATAGTCATCGTGGCTTTTTAAAAATTGGATGGTTGTTAGTGCTGAGCTATCTTGATTTCTTCTGATATCCTGCTGGAATAGAAAGGAATTGTTTACGAGGGTTAATCGAGATGTTTCTCTTCTTACTTGTATCTGTTATTATCTTTGTTCATGGCGAAGGATGAGAAGATGGGGAAAGTAGAGGGGGCGTAGAAAGCCAAATGATACACGGGAAGTCAAGAGAGTGGGAAAGAGAGGAGTATTTATTTTGTAGTCAAGATACTTGCTTTTATTTATTCAATATGACCATATAACGCTTTTCCTCTACCTGTTTCTGTCTCGATTTCGTGTTCTGTTATTCGCATCGATCACAGTGGTGGTTGGGGAAACCTCACCGAGGATCTGACTGAGAGGTACTGCAAAGCAGCTTGTCTACAACAAGGAAGACGATAGTTAAATCTGAGAGCTCTAAGTTGAAGTTCTCGAGAGACTAACTATCCTCCGAGTCGCTGCCATTGGTTTCTTCGCCGCCATCAAACCCGGGACATCATTCTTCAGAGGTGTGGTTGGAGAGTTAGTGTGGGTTATATCTTGATGATGGAGACATTTTGCATGTGAAGAGCAACGCACATATGCTCTGCATTTGTAGTATAACCCACATCTCCTACTTTGGTGTCAGCGAACTTGCGAATCTATCGGTGCGGGCAGAATCGAATCTTGTATTTCTTAATTTCTAAGAACATATCAATGCGAGTCAGGCAATACGTAGTGCAACAAAAGCAGTCTTTTGTATTCAGACAAGTTCACGTATTGGGGTACAAACGATTGTTTTGAAGAGGGAAGGGGTTTTTGGAAGTAGAGAAAAAGTTACCCGGAGCATGTTTCATCAGTCCTGTGCAGGCCACTTTTGCTGACATCTCTGTCATATTCTTCAATTTCCCTGGCAGTGGTCTTGTACTAAGCCCTTACACTTTGTTTATTTGATGGTTTCTTCGGATTCTGATGGAGATTTACAGGACGCTGTCAGGGTGGTACCCATCGACGACGACATTGATATCAATAGACTCAAGCATCTGCAGCAGAATCAAGAGTGGAGTTTCTATGCTCGAGACGAGAACGGTGCAAAGATCAATATTCATTACTATATATCTAGCAGCGGCAATGAGCTAGCAATGACGAGCCGAATCTGTTGAAGTCACTCACAAAGCTCAGCTATATGGATGGTCTCAAGCTAGATAACAAGTTAGTCAGTGGCAAGGCTCACCAAGTTATCAAATATTTTCTAAACCGGCACAGTATTGATATCACATTGGATTGTTCATATGGCAGTATCTCAGAGAATACATATCATATCTACATCCTAAAATATACCACGCTCTGGAAACAGAGAAACCAGAATCCTCTAAGCTCGCCATTTCTAAAACCCGTGAGGTAAAAAATTACATGTTTCTCTCTGCCAGTTTCTCGGAACCAACATAGGATCTCCAATCATTGACTCATTACTCGTAGCCATTCGTTCTCAATCCAGAAATGTTTCTCTTTCCGAGGTGAAAATACAACAGCCCGTTGCCCCCTTCATATACATAGCTCTCTTGTCCATCACTCAGGCAAATATGACTCCCCTTCACAAGAATACGTTCGAATGGCTCGATAGCCAGAACACTTCAATATCGATTTACAATGAACGCAAAATGAAGTTTACCCTCTCCACTAGTGGGTATACCGACTAACGGTACAGTACAGAAAATCGACTTGTGAATATATCTCAGGATGTCCTACAATCATTCATTAGAAATGGAACAATTAGAATGTGAAATTTGATATTAAACAATAAGAGAATGAATTTATTGGAAATTGAGAAGTGACCCGTCAATCCATGCACTCACTGGTGCTCCCACTCATGATGTTATTAATCAAAAAACTCTTTCCACCCCCCTTTTTTATGAATCAGCAGTGTCGCCATTCAAAAGCTACAGCAATGATCAAGGGAAGTAGTAATTTGAGTAAGGGAGAGTAATTAGGTCCTATTTTTATCGGAACGTACGCTCCTCCTCTAGTAATTCAAACAATATAGTTGATTATATATATATAATTCTAATAAGTACTATATAATTGATTGTTATAACTAAAAAGCAAATAAGTCTTTAAAAACCTTAAGCTTAAAGGATAGTTCTTTATATTTAATAAGCTTAAACCTTTATATTAAGATTATATAATAAACTATAATCAAAAGAATCTTATTTTTAGTATAAAAACAAAAAAGGTATTTACATTTATTATTATATCTTTTATATAAATAGTATCTTAATAGAAAAACATTTAATTAAAAATTAATACTCTATATTCTAAAAATATTCTTAATAAAACCTCGAATAAAAATCTCATTAGCTTTTATTAATTTCATTAGGTCTTAATATAATAGGACTAATAAGATTATTAAAATATAGAAAACGAAGATCTATATAAGTTAGTTTAGTTTTTTAATATATAAAACTTTATATTTAATTCACACGTGTTAATTCAGTGTTACGGGAGCTGCCTCTAGGGTCACGTGGAAGTGTCTAGAGATCTCTCGAGGTGGTTTAGACTAGACTTCAAGTAGGAATTCAATAAGGTTGTAACTGGTTGCAATTCTCGTAACTATAGTATGAAACTAATGATTGATCTTGAGCACGAAGCTCTACATTGTAATGAAACCCATTCCCTTATATAGACCTTCGTTCCTTGTTGTCCCATTGATCCCATCGTGTCCCACCAGGTGGGAGCAGTGGGATCCAGTGGGAATCTCTAATCCCGTGACTTTCTGATCAGGTGACTCGGTATGTTGGATGTCGTCGTAACATTCAGATAGTAATTCTATTATTTAGTTATAATATTGTTTGATTTTGATTGATTATTTACCGTTTTCAATATAAATTCTACTATATAACTTTTGAAAATATATTATAATACTAGAAATAATAAAAATCTATTCTTATTTATAAATCTATATGATTTTCTAATTAAAAATTAATATTTATATTACAATAAACTAATTATTGAAATTAGAATTTTATATTTGAAATGGTGATGGTAATAATAGATTATAGAGATTGTTCAATTCTCTTTAGTCTATGGTTGTATGTGAAAGGATAATGATTGTAATAAATTATATTCACGTTGTGTTTCGCGTACCGAAGGATCACCTTGCTCGTCCACTAGAACGCTATTCAAAACCTAGATTTGAGCGTCGCATGCTGGCAAAGGTGATAAGTATTTCAATCGTCTTCATTGCATAATAGCATGTAAGAAGCAAATAGTTCCAACACCACTGGATAGGATAAGATGGTGGCGATGATGTGGAATAATTAGACGAAAATCCGCCATTCACCACATAAACCACCAGGTTCATGCCAACACCCAGCCTGAACCAGTACGTGTGAATGCCGGTGGTGATTTTGTCACGCCCTCATTCAATCCTTTCGAAAACATCAATGATTAAATACACATGCAACTTTACATCAAGGAAATGACTAAAGTGGAAACCACAGAACTCCCAGAAAGATACCAACGCCCACAACCATACTGAGGTGTGTTCGACAGTATGATACAAGTGATCTGCCATTAACAGTAGCGAGAATCGAGACATCTTTGCCATGATCTTTCATTAGAAGACAGACCCAACCACAAAGTCCTCTTACCATGCTTCCCCAGCTAGCCGATCGAACACCCTCAAGAAGCTATTAGATTTCGCTCGGCCGGATATGCAAACGGAAACATTGACGTGACGGATTCCTTAGGAATGTGTTAGTGTCGTGCAATGATCATGAATAAGAGGACATCTTCCTTGGTGAGTAGAAAAGAGGCCTCATAATTAGGAAATGTACTCAATCTTTTCCAAAGACGACCAAAGACTAAGACTCTACTACTGCTACTTATGTCCTCCACTTAAAAGTACTTGAAAAGAGTGTCAAAAAGGAGTACAAAGGCTTTGATATTCATGTACTCGGGGGCAACTTAGACTTGCAAACCTAAAATTCCTTGAACATGCCCTCTCTATAGCCGGTTACATACATACAGACAAGGACTTAAGATGTACTATGAAACAGCAGGCGTATCATGTACTTGATGTTTCTTGCTACGTATCTAGCTCACTTCACGGGTGGACAAACATTCAAGCTACATCTTGTTACTTCATTTTCCCATTGATTTGTACTTCATTAAAGAGTCAAGATCCAAGCAACACATGGATATCAAAACTCCAAAACCAAGATAGATAGAAAATACCCCTTTCATTTTATCTACCGTTACAAGCAAGTGAAATGCGAAGAAAAGTCTAGGTAACTAAATCCCACCCTAGACCGTTACATCACCACCCGCGCAAGGTAAGACGAAAGAAAGACAAAAAGACAAGCTTTAAAAATGGAACAGAGAAACTTCCCATCACGAAGCACCATTGAGAGCCAATACGTCCCTTTGATTCGTAGAAGCCTCTCTGTACATTCATTAGTGGACAAAATCCTTCATTAACCAGTTCACAATGCAATTTTGGCCCATTTTTTAATCAAATTTCTTGTTTCTCATTCAACGATTGCGTAAAACACAAATTTTTTGAGATCATTTCTACATTTCATGTTATGCCATGTTGTGAAAGATCGGCAAGTTCAGTTTCGATGAAACTTTATGCGCCAAGGCTTGGGAAAGCAGATTGGTCCTCAATTTGGATGGATGCAGAAGCACCTCCGTTTCTTGGGGCACTTTGGCGTGGTGGGCCTCTGTCGCCACGAGCGCGTCCACGTTGGCCCTCACCACGTCCTCGGAAACCTCCTCTGTCGCCACGTGGTGGTCCATCACCACGTCCGCGGCCTCCACGGAAACCTCCTCTACCACCAGCACGTTCGGTGGGTTCAACATAACGTTGATCAATCTCAACGATTTGCTTTTGAGTGCGTTGACGTTCACGCTTGGCCTTGCCACCAGTTCCAGCGACGAAGTCTTCCTCGTCCTCCTTGGCGATAGGCTTGGCGTTGGCCCACTTCTTGTCGAGCTTGCTGTCTGGCTTGCGAGCTTCAGGGGTAGCGGCGTTGAGTGCGGCTCTCTTCTCTTCTAATTGAGCGAGGTAATCGGTGTAAGAGACGCTGTTGTCTTCTGGCTCGGCCTCTTCAGCGGCAGCCTCAGCTGCTTCACCATCTTCCTTAGCTTCGGTCTTGGCAATAGCTTCACCGGCTTGCTCATCGGCGAGCTCAGCACCACCTTCGGTAGCACCCCAGCTATGAGCAGCTTGCTTCTCGGAATCACTTTCAGAGTGTCAATATTCTATGCTACAACTTTTATTATGGGGACATTTCTTACCCTCCGACTCCACGGCTGTGACGATCGAATTTGGCACCTCCACGAGCACCACCTCGGCCACGTCCACCACCTTCACGTCTTGGGTGACGATCTTGTCGGACAGAATCATCGGTTGGCTTGCCTTGGTTGTTGGCGCTGCCAGCGTTGCGGTCACGGAATGCTGTCAAAATATTATTAGCTAAAGTTCTGATTGACCACTGCAACTAGCTCAAATATTTCATAAAATTGGAAGTATTAATATGTGCAAGTTGAGAATGTCCATGTACTAACCACCTTCGTTTCCGGAGTATCCTCCACGACGAGCACCACGTCCATCGGCTACAGGAGCCTTGGCTGCTGGTGCCTCTCCAGTGGCATTGCGCTTGGTGTTGCGGGCTGGAGTCTTATCGACGACCTTCACTGGTGGCTCTGGCTCCTTGTCGGAATCATATTCGTGGTCGTTGCCTATATTTGATCAGTTTTCGTGCTTCAAAGATTGTTTTCTGAGTTGATTCGTGCGTACCGAGAAGCTCGTAAAGGTTCTACAGTGATTCATATTAGCTTTGAAACTTGTAAATGATTGAACATCGATGGATGGCTGAATCTGTGGCGCATCTTCTCAAGCGCAAACTGCATGAAAAATTTATTGTTGATTGTTAAGAGAATAATAATTACCTTGGAAGCGATACCCGACATCTTGATCTGCTTCTCGAGTGCCTCCGAAGAAGCTTTTGCTACCGAGAGAACAATTCGGGGGTTGTGAGTTTAGAAAACGAGACTGACAGATTCCTGAACACAAGGAAGCCGTCTCTCGAGAATTGCTGATTTGCGGTTGGAAAACAAGGTGAACTTGTAAATCGTCGTTGATGCTGAAAAGTCGGTT